AAGTATTGTGTTGTAGGCGCCCTCACCTGCGGTCTGCGTACGTAGGGTAGAAATGCCCACCTAGGTGCCAAGTATTCTTTTTATAATTTGCAAGAACCTCAAATATTATTTCATGGACGAAAGGTTTATGTTCGTTTACCAGCAGCTACACTTTCACAGCAAGGGGCGGAGGTAGCGGCCACACCCACGGCTAATATAATGACGACTCTGGCGAGCCTTATTGCGCGTTCGAGCGTGCAAGCCTGTCAGGAAAAATTATTGAGTCATTGCGACGAGACGGACGAGACGGCAAATATGAGCGGCGCCAATAAGGACATTCCACGCCGTCGAATCCACCTGACAATCTACTCCTTATGCGTTTTTGCACGTGGACAGCAAATTTTGCTCAACGAATTCAGCCGCTGCTGCATGTTACACAACTATCGTTAGGCTGCATTCAAAATCACCTGCAACGACAGCTCTTCAAACTGCGAATATTTTATATTTCAACCCATTATTTTAGACCGGCAACATTCACACGGCATTAGCACTGCTAAAGCTGGGCAAGAGTTATGATAACAGCGAATGCCGTGCAATTAACGTGACTGCTATTATAACCGGAACGATGAAAAATGCTACGAAGGATTCGTCATCGTGGACCCCTATGCTTTAATGGTGATATGCTGGTTAGAAAACAACTCCATCAATTCACTCACTGCATCTCTAAAAGAAACAAGTGAGAACTCAGGCCCAAAACATTTACTTCCAAGACACAATGAACACCATTATTTTATAAAACACTTTCAAATTTGTTTACGCATGACCTACCACAGCAGCAAACTAATTGGTTGTAGGTTTCTTAAGCCGCTATTCAGATATTTGTGTTGTTCTTCACGTGTCGAGGATTATGGAACACCCACACTGCATGTCTACGAAATGTCTGTCGTGAGTACGCCCATAGTCCCCGAGCAAGCGCAAGCCTCCTAGGCACCAGTCTCACAGTCATCCACTGTGGTCTAGTGGGGGAGGGGGAGGGATGCGCCTCCGCGACTGAAGTGAAGTGCCAGTGTACGTGCCTCCCGACAGAAAGAACGACGGCAATCTTAGCTGTCCAAATGAATGTTCCGCAATGTAGCCCTACGCGAACTGCTGCAGTAGAACAGTGTGCGCAGCTTAAATGCGCAAAGAAAACAAAACAGTACTTTCACTGAATCACGCTAGATTTTTCGTTTTTATTTTAGCTAGTTCCAGCTAGTTGAACCACCTTTAACTGGGTTTCAGTGCTTAAAATCAACAGTACTAGTGTCTGAAAGCAGAAGCTAATCTAAAGTAACTGAATCATAAGAACAACTCGGCAACAGAGTCCACAATTTTGTTTCCATTCTTTATACAAAAAATTGTACTCATGATTTACTCGCAGGGTGCTCGAAAATCAAGTTGTCTATCAGTTATTCGAATTAAAACCGTCGTTCTCGTTACAACCATGGAGACTACGTAACCCCCCCCCCCCCCCCCACACACACACACACACACACCAAAAAAGCATATATATAACCGAACTTCTGCTACCTGAACACTAGTGAGCCTACTTGCAATCTCAATAAGAAAGGCTTCAGTCTCGGTAGGCGTATATAAGCCTCAGCAAAGTGGAGGGACTATTTTCACGATCGGGCCTACGTTAATAGCTAAATAATGCTCACTGCAACGCTCGAAACATCACTGGTTTGTGTGTACCGGTGGTGTCGCGAGCGTTGCTTCACTGTACCATCTAGCCTTACAGTAGTAAGTGCCAGCACTGTGTAGTACGTCCACGAGACGAATACGGTAGGCACTGTTAGGGAAGCTGGCACTTCCGAACGTTTAGCCGATTGTATTGCTTCTGTAGTAGAAGGCAAAAGGTAAAGTAAAGTGACTAGACTACTCTGTTTCCAATTCCACTTATCGCTACAGCGAGCAGGACAGTCTCCTGGCACTGCCAGAGGGTCGAGTCTAGTAGTTGCAACTGCAACTGCAAGGACTGCCAGCTGGTAATGAATGCAACTTGCATTCACTCCAAAGTGCAATGGGGGCAAGGCTTTCAACCTAAGCCCCACGCTACACACTGATTGGAAAGAAGCAGTTTTCTATAGCGTGTTAATTGCAGAATAGTTGCAATTAAACAAAGTATTGATTGACTCGGGCCTTGGGCAGAATACAACTTGATTTCGAGCAACCGTGTTTACTCGGGTTTTGCCACCAAATTATTACACTACGGAGCTATTGGGGGTGGATGTGATGTGCAATGCTCGAGCTCAACCAGCAAGTGCTTGTATTTTCCGACAAGTGGTGTGACGTTCATGATAGAGCTTGTTGAATCGCCTGTTGGGGAAGGTACTGCGTGCCAATCTCAGTGACTGGAAGAGCTGCCAGTGGTGGAGAT